TTGTAGGAGTCGCTTGGAATGCATGCGTGCTAGTTTAATTGCTTTAGGCCGTAGCTTTCCATGTTTGATTGTAGGTAAATTGTTTGTTAAGATTATGGATGTATTATTTGAAGTATTATGAGAATCATCTTAGTGTTGTAATTATGTTTTAAGCTTTCACTTTTTATATATATATATGTTTAATTCATGCTGAAAGGAGGATGGGAACTTGTGAATTCTGCACTCTGAGAGTTGATGGATATTATCGCCTCGTTGAGCATGTATGTTTACTCTACATGAATTTTGTATAATTATGATGGATGATAGTTGTGTACACTCAATGGAATTTTCATGACTCACAGGTTTGATAAAGTCTACGGATATGTAGTTAAAGTGATAAGTCACTAAGTGTAGACCTAATATTTCCCTAGGAGCCTAAGAAACTACCACGACATACAAACCTCCTCTAGAGTACCCTTAGGCCACTTGTGTGTGGATGGTGTTATAGCTTCGTGGGGGACTAGCGGATTCCTGATCAGAACTCGACTGCTCAATAGCCGTTTTAGCATGGGGAACGGGATACCCACGTCGTAACTGACCATTTAGCTGAATGGGATAGGGGAGGTAGCCCTCCAAATACAAGGGGATTACCTTGGGACTAGGGGATTGGAGCTCACTTCCTAGGTAAGACACAAAGTAATCTCATAGCCATGTCGAGGTAGCCACTCGCAGGGCACCAGTCCAACACTGGTTAGCATAAAAGGAATTCTAGGTATAAATGAAAGAACTAAGAACCAAAGAAGCCCCAATGGACAAGTCCCAAGGGGCAAGCCCTAATGAGCTAAGACCAAAACTAGATGTTCTAAAGCCTAAGGAAAGTCTGTAGTTTGTTAAGTTTAGAATGCGATGAGAGCCTACAAGTAGGTGGCCTACTAAGTATAATTTTATATTCATACTTGCTATACCTTTCTTTTTGAGGTAAGTGGGGCGTTGGGTCAAGAGAGGGCGCGCTGAACGATGTAGATTGTCACAGAGGAAGCGTGTCCCGAGACAGTAGTCGATCTTACTGATTAGTACACTTTGTCCTTCATGTTTTCTTTCCTTGTCTATATCTAGTCACATATGACCCCTCTGTATCGAAACGCTTTCGTTACGAAATAAATGATTGATTTTTGAAATAATATTTTCCTTTGAATTTCTTGCAAACACACTACACGTCATAGTCATTGTTAGTCACGACTTGAGGTTAAACTCTTTTTTGGGTAGTGACAAATAGCAAGGAAGAACTTGTGGAATATGAAGAACGTTTGCATTGTTGGAATACTTCAAGAAGTTTTGAAAGGAAGGTGTTCTACAAAGGTAGAGTTCTTACTTTCATATTTATTGTTTTTGTTTTAATTCATAATAAAAATCAAAATGGTTCTCAATACTTTCGCTACGTTGATGAAATGTTCATTCTCTTCACCCAATCAATCCAAGATTTCGAGTTTATCCAAAAGACTTTTCCAACCGACTTAACCCACCAAACCTAGTTTGAAAACCATTTAATAGTTTTAGTTTGAAAGTCATATAATAGTTAGTTTGCACGAAAGTATTTAAATAAATATTAATATATACGAGAGAATTAAGAAAATTCTACTGTTGCCGGCCATGTGGTATTAAGTTTTTGACTCTAGGAGGTGACTGAATAGGATGAAAGTTTTCAAAATGACCGGTAAGATCCCACATCGGTTGGGGTGGAGAACGAAACATTCTTTATTAGTGTGTGGAAACCTCTTCTTAGTAGGCACGTTTTAAAATCCTTGAGGAGAAACTCGAAAGAGAAAGTTCAAGGAGAACAATATCCGCTATTGGTGGCCTTGGGCCTTTACATGCGAGTTCTGGCTCTAAAAGGTAATTTCCTTGAGCCTCATGCGAGGTTGGCCCATTTGATCATCCAACCGACTCTGAGGCAACAAATCATCGCAAAATAGGAAGATGATCCTGGGTGAAGTTTATGATTCGCTCACACATATGAGAGTTTTCATTGACCTCATATGTGAGTATTCTCTAGAACGTCAGGTTATATGTTTCAGTCAACGAGGAACTGAAAAGGGTGTTGTTACCAAGCCTCACAACTTGTTGTACAAGACGCATCGAAGTAGTACCAAGACGTATCATGATCTAAAGACCTACTATTGGTCGTACGGTATGATGAGGGACGTAGTAGAATACATGAATAAGTGTTCGTTCAGTCAACAAGTTAAAACACCAATACATAAACCCTCAAAATTAATGTAACCTCTGAGGATTTCACAACGAAAGTAGGAAGGTGTGGCCATAGACTTTATCTTGGGGTTTCCAAAGACAAGAAAATGCTTCATGTTAATCTCAGTCATCATTGATAGCTGACAAAGTCGGCACTTCATTTTTAAGAAAGACTACCTATTTGATAGATAAGTCGACGCGATTGTACCTAGAGGAACTAATCAAGTTACACGGTGAACTTGTGTTTATAGTATTAGACTAAGATACCCATTTCACGTTGAAATTATAGAAAAGTTTATAAAAGGCATTGACACTCAATGAAGATTTAGCACAACCTTTCACCTTCAAAGTGATGGAAGACATAAAGTTGTATAAAGGATCCTCAGAGAAGCCATAGTTACAAAAATAATTTTCACCCATACAAATCAAAGGACAAGCTCTTACAAGATACGCAAGTCATAGACTATGAGCCTCTAGTCCTACAAAAAGACTTGAGCGATGAAGAGCAAAGTGATAAGAATGATGGTTTTCCAAATATTCCAAGTAAATCTATTACGCAATCCAAGACTAAAAAGATTCATCAAGCATTCATTCTTCATCTACAAAATAGGATAAGCTTGGTTCAACCTCCATTTCATTTGTTACAAGTTAATCGTATTGATGAACTATATTTAGAGCTTCATAAGTAAATATTTGCACAGTTGAAGTGGATGATGGGATAGCTATATATTTTGAGTGGGTAAAAGGGTGGGAAGTTACCCATCAAAATGGTCATAACTTCTTTTTTACTCGACATTTGAAGGGGAGTGGGGAGTAACTTAACAATCATGACCACTAACTTATTTTAGTGAACATTTGAAGAGAACATTTGAAGAGTGGGAGTTCTTTCTTTGTAGAGACTATAAATACCCACAAATTAGTATGTACAAAAGCAAATTTTTTATTAATGAAATTGAGTTTTCAAGTTCAAACTTTCATCCTTAGAAATTGAGCATCATTTTTGTCAATTCTCGGTTTCAATCAATTCTTGTGGTAAATGGCTAGTCATTCAATCAAGTATTGATCAAGTTCAATTGTGGAGTGACTTAATTTAGAACAACGGTTCAAATCTTACTTCGAGATCTTTGATCTTAATGTAATATAGTTCTAGAATTTTTGGTTGGTTTATCCGAATTTTGTACCTGAATCGTGAAGAAAGAGCTACCGAAATGGATTTGCTAGACCCACGGATATCGGTGTGAGTTTTTTCATGGATTTGTAAGTTACCCCCATATGACTTTGCTCGATTCTATGGGGGGAAGATTTGTGAGGGCCTATGTTTGGTAGTGATTGGGTCGATTTGAGCTAAGGAACACGAAAATAGGAGAACTAGACTCAAATTGGAAGCAAATTTTTGTGGGTTTGCTTAAGACTTCTTCTAATGGTTCATCACTCATATGATAAATGAAATTGGGTGATTCTTATTGCTACAGGTTCGTGGAAAGAAGCTTGGAGTTCTAAGAGGACCTAAACATATCGAAAAAGTGTCGATCATACCAAGTAGAACCTCAAGGCTTTAGATTAAGGCGAGCTTATAGTATGTATAAAAGTATGTTATTAAATTTCAGAACTGAAATAAGCTGATTTGATAGAAAATAAGCTGTTGAACTGTTACGACGCTCGATTTTTATGATAATGATGGAATGAACTCATAATTATACGAAATTGAAAGTATGACTAGATAACCATGTTTAGATCACTGTACTATGTCCCTTGTGATGATATGTTCATACATGTATGATGATGTTGTTGTGCGGGGACTATTAGGAATTTGCCAACCAACCCGTAGCCAAGAACATGACTCGACTGTTAGAGGTTTATATAACATTTTATTATGTTTATTAGTTGGTAGAACTAGGATTGAGCTCTAATATGCATGAACCTTGTGAGATAACCTAACGAGCGTCTTGTGGTGTGGTTAAGGGGACTCCAACCACTCCCTAATCATGATTGAGCAAGGACCAAATAGGTAGATGAGTGTTTGCAACATTGAGGGTCACAACCTCCTTTTATGATTATAATAATATGAAGCCTATTAGGGCGATGTCAACTAAGACCCTACTAGAACCATAACGGTATGATGAGAACTATGAGATGGAATTGACCTCGAAGTTGTGCCTCGAAGACCTATGAGACATTGGTCTATGAATATGATGATAATGATAAAAGGGACTAGCAAAACATCTAACTAAGATAACTTAAAACCTTAGAACCATCTAACCAAGATAACTACCTTAGAGTAGCAAGAACGAACCCTTAGAAATGATGGCTCAGATAGGGCTAAGAAAGAGAACTTATAACTTTTGCACCATGACCCTAAGTCGAGCTTAACTCAACTAAGGAAACCTAGGAAATAGCCTAGAAAAGCTAACTTAGGAACAAACTCATAAGTATAAATAAGACACCATCATGAACCATGAATGATTTAATGCGAATAAACTTAAGGACAACTATAGAACTAAAAGCAATCTACGAGACTATATGGGTCAGACTAAGTAAGTGTCTTGGTCTCACTGATCTTTACGCTTTTTATAAATCCATTATTTTGCACCATGTCATTTTGTGTTAGTATTTTGTAGGATATGTCATGTCGTACTTTGAATGTTCTGGTGTACTTGTCTAATTTAAACTAAATGGCCCGTTTGAATTGATAGTTATTAAATGTATGTATGTTTTAAAAAAAAATTAAATTTCAAAATTTCACGTTAACAAGCGACGGTCGGTACTTGAGTCTCTTGAAGCGAACTTTACTAGAATTTTATTTTATGCTTTGCTCTCTCCATTGCCATACACTAAAAGATATTATAGCACAACTTGTAGTTAACATGATGCCATATATAAATCCTACCCAAATCACTTCAAACTAACTCTCTGTAACATAATGACTATTAGTTTCATCGTCCCGGGCCTCGACGATCTAGCTAAAACACTGGACATCCTTTAACGACGATCCCGGGAGCGGTTGGACACTTAGCCAAAGGACAGTGATCGGGTTGTGATCCCCACCACCTCAAGCTATGGCCTCCATTCTGCAGCACAATGAAAAGCAGCACGCCCATTAACGCAGTCCCTGCGTCGAGCGCGGCCGAGAGGACATAGTTGTACTTCTGCCACCATCGCTTATGGTGTCGAAAGACGAAGTAGTTGAAAATGGTACCAGTGATGAGCCAGCTAGCTATGTTTGTAGGAGTTGCGGGTGGCATCCCTGCAAAGCCATAGGATATAACTGGTATGTTTATCAATGCAATCCATTTCTTTTTAGGGAAAGCTTTACTCAATGCCCAAATAGGAACTGGAAGAACAGCTCCAATCAAGAATAGCCACACCAAGTTTCGATACAACCCGCCCGGTCCAAACAATCGCCTCGGTCCTATTAGTCCCCAGATAACAGATGCATCAAACGTCACTCGGTATTTCGGACACGTCCATGGACTATCAGGTTGGAGAGCCTCAGTATCACAGATGTTCTCTATATTGTCTAACATCCACCAAGCAACGACGAGGTTAATCGTCCCGGCAACGAGTGTCCCGACTAACTGAAAAAACACGAATCAGTCAAGATCATATACTCTCAAAAGAAACATTGAAGTTTTTAAAAGATCACCTGGGCAGTGTACATGCATCTTGGTGGGATTTTCATGTAATGGCCAAGTTTAAGGTCAGATAAGAAAGAAAGAGCATGAACTGTGCTGATTCTTCCGTAGATCTTGAAAAGTAGATTTGCTATTGGTTTTCCAGGGAGAATATAACCAATGATTAACTGTGCTATGATATCATATCCAGGTTGCTGCATAACATTCCATATAGATATAAGTCTTTTGCTTTAGAACGTAAACAAAGACGAGGGAGTGCTACTACTACTAATTCCCGTTCGATTACCTGGTTGGTTGTCGCTTGAATGACCCCGATTGGGAGGGTGACAATCCAAGCCATAGCGAAGGCAAATAGCATGCCCCACCACGGCAGCTGCACGATGTCCTTCCACACAATCGACATCAGAAGAGATATCACAGTGCTACCAAATAATAGGATCAAGAACCACCATTCTGGCACTTGTTTGTAGCTTTGCATCAGTTTGGCATGGATGTCCACTTTTGCATTCTTGATTGCTGTCCTGCTCTGCTTCCATATGTCCCTAGAACATTAAAAGTGCACAATCTTAAACTTGGTTTATAACTATAGTGATATATGTATTCGATCTCTAGTCTCTAAACTTAATTGTGATTAAACACGACTTGATGTGTGAACAAATATGGGTTGATTTGACACGGAGTTACATGGGAACTTTTGAAAGAATTAGAAATACTTGACCTAAAACAAGAAACAAGAAGGTATGGGAGGAGGAAATAAAATGTAGAGCGGAAGGAAAGAGAAGAAGAAAAAGTGAGAGAGAAAAGCATACCGGCCATGAAACAATGCGACATGTGTAAGAGTAGCAGTAAACCTGGCAAAGCCAGATCCAATGGAGAGGGCAAACAAGGGGCTAAGATAGAGCTTCCCGTAGTTATTATAAGCACCAACATTAAGTTCAAATTCGGGAGTTAAAACCTTGGTAGTATCATATTTCTGGCCTGTTCTGGTGAAGAGCTTATTAGAGAAAATGGGGAATTTGTGGGCGTCGAAGGTGTTGAACTTCCAGTAGCAAACAGGGAGGACGATATAAATGAACATAACAAACCCAACACCCACGTTTAGAATTGAGGACCATGGCGACACCAGTGGGCTTCCATGGTAGGCCGAAATCCCAGCCCAATCAAAGCTGAAAGCGCCGAGCCCAAGTCCACTTTGGCTCGACCCAATTTGCTGAGCCGTGATGCTGCGAGGCCAAACCCAACAAACCCACGAGAAGAATGATAAGATTTGTAGCAAGTAACCTGGAAAAACGTAGTACACGAAGCTTGCTCCCATGAAGATCAAGAAGAATTTCATCCTTGTCATCCCTTTTGATCTGTCCTCCGTCTCATGAAGGGCTCTAAAACAGGGCAAAGAAAACAGAGCATGTCAGAGTTAAATACTGCTAAGCCTCTGAGCTCCAAATCTGGAAAAGGAATTAAGAAAGGGTACCTAAACAGAGAAACCTGTGCCAGATTTGCAGGCCACCACATTTCAACAGGATCTACCAGGTACCTTCTCAGCATTCCAGCCCATCCATATCC